TTAGTGGCCAAAGAATGAAGAAGTCTGGATGCCCATGGCTCATGCCTGTAATCCCAATTACTCAGGAGGCAGAGATCAGGAGGATTGAGATTCGAAGCCAGCCTGGGCAAATAGTTGGAGAGACCCTATCTCAAAGCTCCTCAGCACAAAAAGTAGTGCTGGTGGAGTGGTTCAAGTGGTAGAGTGTCTGCCTATTAAGTATGAGGCCCCAAATACTTAAAAAAAAATAGGAAAGGACTTTGCTCACAAACCGGCTTCTCCACTCTGGAGATTGAAGGGTTAACAGATAGATACAGGATGGAAATAATGAGGGAGAGGTATAGGATAATGAAGGGGAGGAATATTAATGTCTTTCTGGGAACAGGATGAGCTTTTCCAGGAACTTGGGTGCCACCTCTTTTCACTTTTTCATGGTTTGGTCAAGATGCCTGGGTTGGGTAGGTGGCTTTAGCCTTGAAGAGGAATGAGACAGAGACAGACAGAAAGAGAGAGAGAGAGAGAGAGAGAGAGAGAGAGAGAGAGAGGCAAGACAACAAGGCAAGTCTCATTTTGGATAAAACACTTTTTAAATGTCTACATTCAGGGCTGAGTAGAATCTGATCCAAAGGTTAAGATAGCAAAGGGACAGAAATGGAAAGCATTTTCATTCTGTTTCAGTTACCCATTGGACCTCTGCAGGCTCAAGTGAAGAGTCAGTGTTTTCAACAAGTCACCTTTGTGTCTCTGAAGAGTATCCTAGACAACTGTTATCATAACCCACAGGGCATGGCTGGGTGCTGGTGGCTCACACCTGTAATCCTAGCTCTTCAGGAGGCAGAGATCAAGAGGATTGCAGTTCGAAGACAGCCTGGGCAAATAGTTCTGGAAACCCTATCTTGCAAAAACCCTTCACAAAAGGGCAGGTGAGGTGGCTCAAGGTGTAGACCCTGAGTTCAGCCATAGTGCCACAATAAATAAATAACCCACAGGGCAGAGGTATTTTCTATTATACAGATGGTGTTTAAAACTGAGATTGACAGATCACCAGGGGTGTGGGTGTAAGTGGTGAAAAGAAGTCTGAGAACTGAACTTACAGCACTCAGTGGAACTCCATTCCACAATGGCCTCTTGGCTGTTCCTCTAACAACACCTAGAGGTGCTTCAAAGCTGAGTGACGAGGAAGAACCAGCAGCGGAGGCTGAACGGGAGGAAATCCTGAATGTGGGCCCTACAAGCCCCAAAGAGGAAAGTGTTTGAAGAGAAGGTAGTGAGCCAAGTATCTCAGATATTTGGTTTTATAAAATGAAGGGACAGACAGAGACTATTGCACTGACCACATGGAAGTCATTGGCGACTTGGTGAGTAGTTCCCCTTTTGTCAACAGGCAAAATTCTAAGTATAGTGGGTTTAAGGAGAAATGCGGGGCAGGCCTGGTGGTTCGCGCCTATAATCTCAGCACTTGGCAGGTGGAGGCAGGAGATCATGAGTTTGTGGCCAAGCCTAGGCTACATAGTAAGACTTTGTCTAAAAACAAATATACTAAAAGGAAGAAGTAACCATGGGGAGGGAATTAGAAACAGCTATTACAGACAACTCCTAGAAGAAGTTTTGTTACAAAGAAGAACAGAGGAGGCTGGTGGAGTGACTCAAGTGATAGAGTGTCTGCCAATCAAGTGTGAGGCCCCTGAGTTCAAGCCCCAGTACCACACACACACACACAAAAAGATCTGGCTAAATTTTAGTCAGTTTCCTCTGAGCCCACTTCTCCACGAGGCCTCAATGTTGCCCCCCCCCGCCCCCAAGCCTTGCCTGGCCTGTGTAGCCCAGTTTAGAAAGAATCTGTTCACTCTTCATAGGGGCTGCCTTCAACAAGAATCCTACTAAGTTGGTTTAACAAGAATCCTTAGCTGCGCAGTGCTGGTGGCTCACACCTGTAATCCCAGCCCTCAGGAGGCTGAAGCAGGAGGATCAAATTATAAACCAAGCCGTGTGCCGGTGGCTCATGCCTGTAATCCTGGCTACTCAGGAGACAGAGATCAGGAAGACTGAGGTTTGAAGCCAGCAGGAGGCAAATAGGTTGAGAGACCCCATCTTGAAAATACCTACCACAAAATAGGACTGATGGAGTGGCTCAAGTGGTAGAGCACCTGCTTAGCAAGTATGATGCTCTGCGTTCAAACCCCAGTGCTGCAAAGAAAGAAAGAAAGAAAGAAAGAAAGAAAGAAAGAATCCTTTTAATGGTGATGCACACCATTAAAATGGTGTATTCTCAGCACTCAGAAGGCTGAGTCAGGAGGTTCACGAGTTCAAAGCCAGCCTGGGCTATGCTACATAGGAAAATCCCTTTTCAAAACAAAAATTGAAATAAAAAAATTTCCTTCCCTTGACATCTCTTCTTAGTAATTTTCCATTCACTGAATCCCCTCCCCACTCTAGCTATAAACCCCTAATTGTCCTTGGTGCATTTGGACTTGAGTTCAGCCTCTTCCCTATTGCAAGGGTCATCAAGACAATTGTAATAGCCATCAATAAAATCTTCCTAGCTGGACACCAGTGGCTCACGCCTGTAATTCTAGCTATTTGCTACTTGGGAGGCTGAGATTGGGAGGATCGAGGTTCGAGGCCAGCTCAGGCAAATAGTTCGAGAGACTCCATCTCCAAAATAACCAGAGCAAAATGGATTGGAGGAGTGGCTCATGCTGTAGAAAGCCTGCTTTGCAAGTGCGAAGCTTTGAGTTCAAACCCTAGTCCCACTAAAAAAATAAAAATTAAAAATTAATAAGACTTTTCTGATGGTGTTAACAAGAGTTGGTTTAACTTTTTTTTTTTTTTGGTTTTTTTTTTTTTTTTTTGGTAGTACTGGGGTTTGAACTCGAAAAGCAGGCACTGTACCTCCTGACCTATATTTCCGGTTCATTTTGCTCTGGATATTTTGGAGAATGGTTCTTTTGAACTATTTGCCCAGTCTGGCCTTGAACTTGATTCTCTTAATTTCAGTCTCCTAACTAGCTAGGATTACAGGCGAGAGTCACCACCACCTGTGTGGGTCTCACATTTTTGCTCAGGGCCAGCCTCAAACCTTGACACGCTTATCTATGGCTCCCCTCATAGCTGGGATCACAGGTTTATGCCACCTCTTCTGTCTCATAGCTTGAGATGGGGATCTCACTAACTTTTTGCCCAGGCTGGCCTCAAACCTTGATCTTCCCAATTTCTGCCTCCCAAGTAACTGGAATTATAGGCATGAGCCACTGAGCCTGGCCCAGATTAACCTTTTAACAGGAAAACTGGAAGAAGATGGGCTGCAGATATTACTAAAGACAAGTTCTAAGACACAATTGCTGGAATAATTGGGCAATTTGAAGTGGAGTCCAGGTCAAGGTGTTAGAAGTCTCATCAGTGTAAATATTGAAACCACAGACAATTGCGATTAGGAGTTTGGGCAGAAGAGATGTTGCAGAAAAAGCCATGTTCATTTCCTGAGGCTCAAATGACAGTGTGACCATAAAGGTCTGTATAAAGTTAAGAAGATATTACTAAAAGCCAGGTGCTGGTGGTCATATCTGTAGTCCTAGCTACTCAGGAGGCAGAGATGAGGAGGATCAAGGTTAGAAGCCAGCCCAGGCAAATAGTTCTAGATACCCTAGCTAGAAAAAAACATTCACAAAAAAGGGCTGGTGGAGTGGCTCAAAGTGTAGGCCCTGAGTTCAAGCCCCAGTAAACACACACACACACACACACACACACACACACACACAAAAAGGAAAGGAAAAAGAATATCTTACTAAAGCTTTCCAAACTTCAGTTCCCTATTCTGAAAAATGGAAATTGTAGTAGCACCTACCTTACAGTGTGGCAATGTGTATATAATGTACATTTAGGCTTCTTCTTTGTCTTCTTCTTTTTTTTTTTTTTTTTGATGGCACTAGGGTTTGAACTCAGGATCTCACCCTTGCTAGGTTGATGCTCTTACCACTTGAGCCACTCTGCCAGTTCTTTTGTGTGTGTGTGTGTGTTTCTTTTTTTTGAGATAGGTTCTCCCAAACTATTTGCCCCCAGCTAGCTTCAAGCCGTGATCCTCCTGATCTGTGCCTCCTGAATACCTAGGATTGCAGGAGTGAGCCATGGGCGCCCCACCAAGGCATTTTTCTAAAGGGCTAGGAGTGCAACTCAGTGGTAGAGGACATACCTAGTATGCATGAAACCCTAGGTTTGATCCCCAGCACCAGGGATCATACTATTCCAGAAAAACAACACTAAAGTGCAATTTTAGGAGGGATTTTCTAATTTTCCCCATTTTACAGGTACGGGATCGTTGCTGCCGTTGGAACCTGAACGAGTGAGAAGGGGGCCCCAACTTGAGAGTTGGGTTCACAAGTTATTTGCTCTCTGTTGGAGGTAAAGACGCCAAGTAGGGAGGCACGGAAGCGGGCAGCAGAAGATGCCGACTGACCCAGTCCAGCACCTCCCGGGCTCCCTCGGGGACCAGCGGCCCAAGGCTCCCTCCGGTGGCGGAAGAGAAGAGCGCAGCAGGCCGGCTGGACCTGGCGCTAGCGGAGGGTCACCTCTGGGAGTAAGGGACAAGACTGGGACCCCGGGGCACGTTTTAGGACTTTGAGAGGCCGCAAAAGTGCGACTCCGGAAGGCACTGACAGACGCAGCTGGGAGTTCCTTTCAACGCACCTGAGCAGGTGTCTCGGCCCCGCCCACCCCAGGCCGCCTTCCGCCGTCACCATACGCCCCTTTCAGGTGACAGCTACCCCTGGGGACTCCTGGGAGTTCGTAGTGGAGTCGGACGCCTGTTTGCACCAGGTTGATGGGGTCTATAAGGATCTTGGCCCACATGCAGCGGGAGACGCAAGGCTGTGGGACTCCCGGGCAGCCCCCTGGGTACCCATGCAGTGGGAGCCGAGCTGACAGAGGACTGCGGGAGGCGGAGCCTCTGTGACCACGCCCCCGTGGCGGGGCCGGAGCCGGGACCAATGAGGCTCCTTGCTGGGGGGGGGGGCAGGCTCTGGGCCTGGCATCCCGGTAGCCGTCTGCCTTTTCCGGCCCCGCGCCCCCGCCTCGCGTAGCGGACCCCTCCAGGGTGCGGAGATCGTTCCGAACGAGCCGCTGCTTCCTCTGGGTGGTGAGTGAGCGCCCTGCAGCGCCGAGCTTTGGGGTGCGCCTGGCCGGCGAAAGGGAGATCCTGTCCGCCTGCACCGCTCGGTCGGAGCGAGTGGGTAGGAGCCGGTGGATGGGGTGGGAGGACCCCAGGGACCTTGTGTAGCGGAATGCCTGTCGACCTGGGTTTCTGTTTGGGAGTCGAGGGGTGTGTTTGGGTTGGTGGAGTTTGGGGGGTGCTTTATGTGGATGGGAGGAGTCTGGTGAGGATCAGGAGAGGAGGAGGGGGCTTGAGATGGGTTGAAGGTGGGGGTTGCAGAGGGTGGGCTTTTGGGAGATTTGCAAGTTTGTTTTTGCCTGGGTTGGGGGCGGTGAGTGATTGTACGGGGGTTACTTGGGAGGGGCGGCTCAAGACTCTGGAGGAGGGGTGTGGAGGCTTGCTTTACCCGTAACTTACTTCCCTTTTGAGAGATTTGCTTCCTCTTGTACCTTTAGTTAAGGTGGGAGAAAGGCTGGAGCAACAGGAGCTGTCAGAGGAGATCTGTGTCCCTTTCCAGAGCCGCTGTCATTCTTGTCTCAGGGATATGGAGGAAGGGACGACCCCCAGAAGCTGGGAGGGGCCCTGATAACCATGCTGAGTGGTTTGGGGTTCAGGATTGTGCAGCAGTGCCTGGGACTATCTGCAACTCCATGGGCTCTTTTGAGTTGTCTGCAGCTTCTGTGTGTGTGTGTATGTGTGTGTGTTTCCTTGCAGATCTCCTTTAGGAGAGGCTTCTGGAAGTTTGGTTACGGTTTGTTCTGGGGGCGCTCTGTAGAGTTGCTATTCACACAGTATAATCTCTTTTACAGGCCACCTGCTCCATCTGTGGCTTCGTCTACCTGTGTTCAGCCATGGCCAGCGAGAGCTCCCCTCTGCTGGCCTACCGGCTCCTGGGGGAAGAGGGGGCTGCCTTCTCTGCTGGTGGACCTGGAGGTCCTGGAGGGGCTCCTGCCCGGAAGCTCTCCACCTTCCTAGGTGTGGTGGTGCCCACTGTCTTGTCCATGTTCAGTATAGTTGTCTTCCTAAGGATTGGTGAGTTGGGGGAGGACTTAAGAGGGAGGAGGATGGGCCTGGGCTGAGGTTGGGTGGGATCCCCGTAAAGTGGGTGAAAGGGCTTGAACTGGAGGCTCTCTGTGGCCTTCTGTGCAGCTCTTCCCTGGAGCTCTGCTGCCCAGTGGGGTGGGGTAAGTGGGTGAGGGGCGAGAGATCCCCTGTGACCTTTGCCTCTTCTGTTCAGGATTTGTGGTGGGCCATGCTGGGTTGCTGCAAGCCTTGGCCATGCTCCTAGTTGCATACTTCATTCTGGCGCTCACTGTCCTGTCTGTCTGTGCCATCGCCACCAATGGAGCTGTGCGGGGGGGCGGAGCCTACTGTATCCTTCAACGGTGATGGACAGGGGTCCAGGTTGTTCTGTAGTGAAGGGGCCAGTATTCTCCATCTGCTTGGGGCAGTGCCAGCAGGCAGGCTGGGAAGGTGAAGGTGACCAACTTTGCCCCATGTTAGTGCCACTGTTTAATCTCCTGACAATGTTGTCTATTAGCTATTATTTTACAAATGAGGACAGTGGGGTTCAGAGGGTATTGGTGACCTATGCAAAGAGCCACAAGGCCTGAATACAGTGCTGCAGGGAACTGAGCTGGCATTTGCAGAGAGATAAGGCCCAGAGGCCAACTGCAGAGAGTTTCATATGTGGCCCCTTCCTCATGTTCCTTTTCAGTTTCTTTTTCCTTAATAGTCGCCCTCTGCTTCCATTTTCAGTCATGATCAGTCGGACCTTGGGGCCTGAGGTTGGAGGCAGCATCGGCCTCATGTTCTATCTGGCTAATGTCTGCGGTTGTGCCGTCTCTCTGCTGGGGCTGGTGGAATCTGTGCTAGATGTCTTCGGGGCTGGTCTGTGTTCTCTTCACCTGGTCTAAGTTCTCCCCACCCAGTCCAGATGGCTGTGTGTGTTTGTGGGTCTGGGATTGAGGGAGCAAGCCGTCTTCAGAAGAACGTGTTTGTAGGTTTTTTCCCACAGTGTGGCCAGCCTCATGTAGGAAATGGGGACATCCCAGAGATCATTCCTGCCCACAGGGAGCTTACCATCTAGTCAGAGAGAAAGGCCAGCCTAATATCCCCTAAACTTACAGAGCAAGATTGGTACCCACCAGTCAGACCTTCTAACTAACTCTGTCCTGCCTCTCTCTTCAGATGCTGCAGGGTCCAGTGGACTCAAAGTTCTGCCCCAGGGTTATGGCTGGAACCTGCTCTATGGCTCCCTGCTGCTGGGCCTCGTAGGTGGAGTGTGCACATTGGGTGCTGGCCTCTATGCCCGTGCCTCCTTCCTTACATTCCTGCTGGTTTCTGGCTCCTTGGCCTCAGTGTTAGTTAGTTTTGTGGCAGTGGGGCCCAGGGACATCCCCTTAACTCCTCGGCCTGGCTCCAATGGCTCCTCCCTGCCAGCCCGGTTTGGCCATTTCACCGGCTTCAACAGTAGCACTCTGAAGGACAACTTGGGTGGTAAGCTTGGCATTGCAGTGCCAGGGTTTTCTGGGGCAAGGGGTAGGCATGCATGAGGGGGCCTAGCCCTTAGAATCACCAGGCAGAGAGAATCATGGGCAGGAGGTCTGGACCCTAGAGCACTGCAGTTAAATTCAAATCTGTCCAGCATGTGCTTGGCCCAGTGGGGACAGATCACAAAAGTAGTCCCTGCCTGGGAAGAACTTGTGTTCAGGTTGGAGAGTGTTCAGGCAACAGTAAGACTGAGACTGTTTCAAGTTGAGAAGATAGGCATGACCATAGGCTGGGGAGGACAGGAGCATGGGGACCTGGGGCTGCCCTGAGCCAGACAGCAGAAGGGAACAGGGAAAAGAAACATGACAGGAAAGAGCATGGATTCGAGCCTGTAGGAAGAAACAGAGGTTGATGGGGGGAGGTGATGCAGGGCCCACAAAGGGGTCAGGGCTGGAGTCTTATTGAGGGCAGTCAATGGGAGATGGGCATTTTTGGATTGTGAGGATGGATGGCAGGGGCCATGATGCTTGGATCTTTAAGAGTGATGCTGACATCATTTCTATCCTGGGAATAAAACCCCCAGCTGGCTATGCCCAGGACTACACCACTGGGGCCATGATGACCTTCGCCAGTGTCTTTGCTGTTCTCTTTAATGGTTGTACAGGCATCATGGCTGGGGCCAACATGTCAGGTGAGAGTCTCCCTGCCTGCCACTTCCTGTGGGGGACAGGGGTGTGGGGGGGAGGCTGCTGCCCTGAGGGATGTCTGGGAATGGCAGGAGAGCTAACCTCTTTCCTTCTGCTCCCCTCCCTCCAGGGGAGTTGAAGGACCCCAGCCGGGCGATTCCTCTGGGCACAATTGTTGCGGTGGCTTACACCTTCTTCATCTACGTCCTGCTTTTCTTCCTCTCCAGTTTCACCTGTGACAGGTGCTTGGGGAGGAGGGGTAGGCCAGGCCCTCAAAGGGGTGGGGTGTTGGACTAGGTCAGTACCTTGGGTCACTGAGGGAAGCACAGGCTGGGAAGCAGGTACCCCATTTGTCAAGGCAGAGACTCTGGGGACAGTTTCTCCCATTGGGAGAGAAAAGCAGTTGCTCCTGTCCATGGGGAGGGCTGACTACGTGATGATAACCGCTGTCTACCTGCTTCAGTTGTGAGCCCTTAGTTTAGGGGTGGGGTGGGTGTGACTTTTTAGTAATTTTTATTTGTACAAATATTTGATGTCTTGTGCATGTACTGTTGGGAATTGATTACTGACTGAGTGATAAAAATCCAAGTAATCCAAAGATCACAAGTAAATACCAAGTCCTCCCCTGGATCTTGTTAATACAGAGTATCATTTTGATCCTTGAGATCAGGTTTATGGTCAGTGGAGAGGACCCAGCTCTTTTTTGTTGGGTCCACTGGGGCCATGATGACCTTCGCCAGTGTCTTTGCTGTTCTCTTTAATGGTTGTACAGGCATCATGGCCAGCCTGGACCACCCAGTCTGGGTTATATTCAAGACCAGGCTGGCCTTGAATTTGCTATATAACCCATGGTGGCCTCCAACCTGTGATCCTCCTTCCTCTACCTCTCAAGTACTGGGGTTATAGGCAGGTACCACCATGTCTGGCTAGGACCCAGCTTTTTAATTATTATTATTTTTGGTGGTGCTATTAGAATTTGAACTTGGGGCCTTGAGCTTGGTAGGTGCATGTTCTACCATTTGAGTCATACCTCCAGCCCTTTTTTGCTTTATTTTTGACAGGGTCTTGTGCCTTTTGCCTGGGCTGGCCTCTGTGATCCTCCTACCTAGGTCTCCTAAATAGCTGGGGTTGCAGGTATGAGCCACCTTGCCTGGCTTGTTTGTTGAGATAGGATCTCACAAACTTTTTGCCTGGACTGGCCTCCAGTGGCAGTCCTCCTGATCTCTGCCTCCTGAGATGATGCTGGGATTATAGGACGCAACTCTTAACCACAGGGTGTCATCAGCACTTTTCTCACAAGAACCCTGTGATGGATACTCATTGGTTATCCATATTGTCTTCCTTCCCTTCCCTTCTAGAACCCTGCTGCAGGAAGACTATGGGTTCTTTCGTGCCATCAGCCTATGGCCTCCGCTGGTGTTGATTGGGATCTATGCTACAGCACTCTCAGCCTCCATGAGTTCCCTCATCGGTGCCTCCCGAATCCTGCACGCCCTGGCCCAGGATGACCTCTTTGGTGTGTTTCCCTCTGTCTCCATGCCTGCCCTGGGCATGCCCTCCTGGGTCTGTCTTGTCCTCACATGGCCCAGACTGACTTATTTTGTTTTTACAGGAGTGATCTTGGCACCAGCTAAGGTTGTGTCTGGAGGGGGGAACCCCTGGGGAGCTGTCTTGTATTCTTGGGGTCTAGTCCAAGTAAGCCTTCCTTTTTTCTTTTGATGGGACTGGGGTTTGAACTCAGGGCTTCACGCTTGCAAAGCAGGTGTTCTAACACTTGAGCCACACCTCCAGTCCGTTTTGCTTTGGTTATTTTTGGAGATGGGGGGTGGTCTCTGGAACTATTTGCTGGGGCTGGCCTTGAACTGCAATCCTCCTGATCTCAGCCTCCCAAGTACCTAGGATTACAGGTGTGAGCCTCTGGAGCCCAGCAAACCTTCCTTTTCAAACTGCCCTGTTACTTGCACTGTAGCTGGCAGGATCAGGATCAGGCTTAGGTCTAGCAGGATTCACTGACACCCCTTAAGGTGTACTGGCATTTTTCAGGGATGCATTGGCATTTAGTTTATTGATTTATTTTTTTGCTGCTAGGGACCAAACCCAAGGCCTTGTGCTTACTAGGCAAGCGGTCTACCACTGAGCTAAGCTTCCAACCTCTATGTATTATTATTATCATTATTATTATTATTGGTGATACTGGGGCTTGAACTCAGGGCCTTACACTTGCTAGGATTGCTAAGCAGGCTAGCTCTTCATTTGAGTGCCTTTCTCAAGCCTTTTTCTATCACCAGCCCTTTTTGTATTGGGTTTTTCAAGATAGGGTCTTGTGAACTATTTGGCTAGCTTTGAACCTCAATTCTCCTGATCTCTATCTGCTAAGTAGCTAGGATTATAGGTGTGAGCCACCGGCACCCTGCTTATTATTATTTTTTTGAGACTGGGTCTTGCTATGTAGCTCAGGCTGGTCTTGAGCTTTCAATCCCCCTACTTCCCCCTCCCAAGTGCTTGGTGTGCTTTGGCACCTCTTGGGGTGCACTGGCATTGCATGGGTGTACATTGGCACCATTGATCAAAACACCACTTCTTGGTCCCTACCTAGCTGGTGCTCCTGGCAGGGAAGCTGAACACCTTGGCTGCCGTGGTCACCGTCTTCTACTTGGTGGCCTATGCAGCAGTGGACCTGTCGTGCCTAAGCCTGGAGTGGGCCTCAGCCCCCAACTTCCGGTGAGAAATTAAGATACCTGTGTCCCCAGAGTAAAGGAGGGAGGATAGATAGGAAGGACTGAGGCACTGGGGGCTTGACTGGGGACTAGAGCAAGTGGCAGTTCCTTGTTCAGGGCCAGACCTGAGTTTTCTTTCTTCCTTCTCTCTGCCCACCCCAGCCCCACCTTCAGCCTGTTCTCCTGGCACACCTGCCTGCTGGGCGTGGCCTCCTGCCTGCTTATGATGTTTCTTATCAGCCCAGGGGCAGCCGGGGGCTCCTTGCTTCTCATGGGCCTGCTGTCTGCCCTGCTCACAGCACGAGGAGGCCCCAGCAGTTGGGGCTATGTCAGCCAGGCCTTGCTCTTCCACCAGGTTGGGGGAACTTGCAGGATGGGAGGAGGGAGGAGGCAATCTGGGACAGCCCCGCACTCCTGCCCAGGGAGCTGATGTTCTGTTTGAGAAGTATGGGAACTGTCTGATCAAGCCCTTTTCCTCCACTATCTCATTTGGGTCCCCAGGTGCGTAAGTACCTGCTCCGGCTGGACGTCCGGAAGGAACACGTGAAGTTCTGGCGGCCCCAGCTGCTGCTCCTGGTGGGGAATCCCCGGGGTGCCTTGCCTCTGCTGAGGTTGGCCAACCAACTCAAGAAGGGGGGGCTCTATGTACTGGGCCACGTCACCCTGGGTGACCTTGGTGAGTTGCCCTATCACTTGCTCCCATCCTTCCTCTTCCCCTCCATAATAGATGCCTGATGCTTCCTATGACTTTCCAACCAGTCACAAATCCCACCTGGAATTTGGACTTTAAGATAAAGAGGAAATGAATTTGGCCCACGGTCGTTGCTTCTTTTTTTTACGTTCTCTGCAGACTCCCTGCCCTCGGACCCTGTTCAGCCGCAATATGGGGCATGGCTGAGCCTGGTGGACCGGGCCCAAGTGAAGGCCTTTGTGGACCTCACCCTCTCATCCTCTGTGCGCCAGGGAGCTCAGCATCTGCTGCGGATCTCAGGCCTTGGTGAGTTATTCCTCTCTAGGTCCCTTTAAGCCTTCTCTGTGGCTCTGTTATTTTATTATTATTATTTTTTTTTGTGGTACTGGGGTTTGAACTCAGGACCTACACCTTGACCCATTCTACCAGCCCTGTCTTGTGTTGGGTATTTTTGAGATAATGTCTCTTGAATTATTTGCCTGGGCTGGCTTTGAACCTCAATCCTCCTGATCTCTGTCTCCTGAGTAGCTGGGATTACAGGGGTGAGCCACCAGATCCCAGCCTCTGTAACTTCTTTAAATCTCCACTTCCATCCTCCAGAAAATAAACCACAGATTGCAAACTGCAAAAGGAACTCAAAGCCGAGCAGATAAGAGAGCATTCAAAGATAAAACAGCCACAGACAGTGTACAAGTTCTGATAGGGGAGACTGGGAAATAGACAGAGTGACACTGCTGTATTTCTTTTCATTTTTTTTCTGAGCCAAAAATTGGAGAGTATTTGGGCTTCAAAGAGTATTTTTCTAGAGTCAATGGGAGAATTATGTGAGAATTATTGGGCTTCCCTATCAGAACATCTGTTTTGTTTTGTTTTTTTGCTGTGCTGGGGCTTGAACTCAGGGCCTACACCTTGAGCCACCCCACCAGCCCTTTTTTATGATGGTTTTTTTTTTTGAGATAGGGTCTTGTGAACTATTTGCCGGGGCTGGCTTTGAATCGCAATCCTCCTGATCTCTGCCTCCTGAATAGCTGGGATTACAGGTGTAAGCCAGCAGAGCCCAGCTAGAACATCTGGTTTCTAATCACCAGAGTTCAGAAAAAGCAAAGATTAGTAGGTACAGATGTAGTCAGCAAGGTTTTGTGGACAGATGGTAACTCAGCCAGTCCTGAAAAGGCTCAAAGAGAAGGGAGGGGTATAATGTAGTCCCTGACACTGCAAAGGATGCTGGAGGGTGAGTGGGGCAGATGTTTGTGTTTGGGGTTGAACATTCCTGGCTTCTGCAGCACAGAGGCCTTCAGGCTCCTCCAAATCTATGCTTGTAGTCTTCCTCCTCCCTTAATCCCAGGACAGTGTCTGTCACCTGAGTGCTCATCTCCTTCTCCACTTCCTAAGAGTCTGGCTAAAGTTCAACAGTGTTGGACATTGGCCCTGCTTGGTGCAAATCATAACTCTAGAAAATGCTTAGAAGGGTGCATGACTAGTTTAATTTACAAGATCAGCTGGGGCTACTGAGGTTTGAACTCAAGGCTTCATGCTTCCTAGGCAGGTGCCCCCAGTAGTCCTTTTTTTGCTTAAGTTATTTTTCAGATGGGATCTGATGCTTCTGCTCCAGGGACTGCCTTAAACCATCATGATTTTCCTATGTACACTTCCTACGTAGTTGGGATTACTGGGATTATGGATGTGTACCACCATACCTGACTTGTTCTTTGAGATGGGATCTTGCTACCTTTTTGTCTGGGCTGGTTTCGAACCTTGAGCCTCCTGATCTCTGCTTTCTGAGTTGCTAGGACTACAGGTGTAAGCCACAGGTGTTCTTTCATGAACTTTACCTTGTAGAAGATGATTCCAACAAAAAGGAAAGATTTCCTCCGAATAGTAAATTCTCCAGCATGGAAGATTTGATTTACTGGTAGACTTTTTTTTTCCTTTTTTACTGGTAGATTTTGAGTAGTCTGTTCTATAATGAGAGATCTTTTTTTTTTTCCTTGTGGCACTGGGGTTTGAACTCAGGGTCTCACACTTACTAGGCAGGTGCTCTTACCGCTTGAGCCACTCTGCCAGCCCTAAGAAGTTGTCTTGGAAGAAGTTTCTGAATCTTCTGCCTGGCCTCACTGACTGAAGGGGGAAATTACCCAATTTCACACTGGTGTTTGAAACATCAAAAACTAGTATTGGCATGGTGGCTGACACCTGTAAGTTCATCTGTGGGGGAGGTGGAGCTCCGGAGGATTGAGGTGCAACCAGACAAAGAAAAGTAAATGAAACCCCATCTCAACAAAAAAAATCTGTGTGTTGTGGTGGTGTGCCTCTGTCATGCCACCGGTGGGGGAGGCCATAAGTAGGAGGATTGAGAAGGCAGGAGGATTGCTGTCCAGGTCAACTGGGCAAAAACAGGAGCTCTGTCGGGCGTCAGTGGCTCACACACCTGTAATCCTAGCTACTCAGGAGGATTGAGGTTCGAAGCCAGCCTGGGGAAACAGTTCATGAGCCCCTATTTCAAAAACAAATCCTTCAAAAAAGAAGGGCTAGTAGAATGGCTCAAGGAGTAGGCCCTGAGAGTTCAAACCCTAGTACCACAAAAAAACCCGAGTACTGCAAACAAACAAACAAACAAAACAGCAGCCCCTATTTCAAAAATAACCTAAGCAAAAAGGGCTGGTGGAGTGGCTTAAGTGATAGAGTGCCTGTCTAGCAAGCACTAGGTCCTGAGTTCAACCCCCAGTGCTGCCAATAAAAATAAAACTAGGAGCTGTGGTTAGGAACTTGGGATGTTAAGGTTGGCCCATGCCCAGCTTGGTGGCTCAGAGAATGGCCTCTGGTGTGTGTGGACTGTATTCACCTGCTTGCCAGGAACCTACCAGCCTTGAGGCTTTGGGCCAGTGACTTCACCAGCGTGGGGCCTCAGGTTCCTTATCTGTAAAGGAGGAAGACTAAATAGTACCTATCTCATAGTGTTGCTTCAGGTGAGATAAAATACAAAGTGCTTTCTACAGGATGTGCCCCTGCCACAAGCATGTAGATGTTAGCTGTTTCCTCTTGGTGACCAGGCTGTGGACCACCATTTGCAGGGCTTTGCAGTAGTATAAGCAAAAGGCCAAGCCCACCCCCATTCTCTTATCCTCCCCTAGCAGACTCTGGGATGTTATTTTCCTGGTGGTTAAGGCTATGAACTTCAATGATCGGAGTATCTGATTTGCCCAGTGGAGTTAAACTCCCATCTTTTCATCACGAAAAAGGTGCACTCCTTAAAGCTTCACTGGTAGCATGGATCTCAAGTGCTCATTAGTTAAAAGAATCCTAATGTGGCCTGGGTGCCTGTAATCCTAGCTACTCAGAAGGCAGAGATCAGGAAGATCACTGTTTGAAGCCAACCCAGGCAAATAGGTTTTAAGACCCTGTCTCAAAAAAAAACCCATCGCAAAAAAGGACTGGTGAGTGGCTCAAAATGTAGACCCTGAGTTTAAACCCCAGTACTGCAGGGGAAAAAAAGAAACCAAAAAGAATCCTAATGTGAACTTGCCCTATTTAAGTGGAGGAGATTAGACACAGAGATAATCAAATAAGTGCATGTGAAAGTGTTTAGGAAAACTAAGTCATTGTGCAAACGAGCGTGATGTTGCCATAAGAGTCTAACACAGTGGGGATGACACATGTCGCTGTCAGCGTGTGTGAGTGAGCGCATATTAGCTTGGTGTGAACTCAGCCTGCGAGCCTGATTCCCGTCTGTTCCTCCTGCCTCCCTCTTTCTACCCCCAGGTGGCATGAAGCCTAACACGTTGGTCCTGGGTTTCTATGATGATTCTCCACCACAGGACCATTTCCTGACAGACCCAGCTTTCTCCGAGCCTGCAGACAGTACCAGGGAGGGTGGGTCCCCAGCCCTGAGCACTCTGTTTCCTCCACCACGTGCACCTGGGAGTCCCCGGGCTCTCAGTCCCCAGGACTATGTGGCCACCCTGGCAGATGCCCTCAAGATGAACAAGAATGTGGTTCTAGCCCGGGCCTGTGGGGACTTGCCCCCTGAGCGATTGAGCCGGGGGTCTGGAAGCTCCACTCAGCCTCATCATGTGGATGTGTGGCCTCTCAACCTGCTGCGACCCCGCGGTGGTCCCGGCTATGTGGACGTCTGTGGTCTCTTCCTCCTGCAGATGGCCACCATCTTAGGCATGGTGCCTGCCTGGCACAGTGCCCGCCTCCGGATCTTCCTGTGTTTAGGCCCTCAGGAGGCCCCTGGGGCAGCTGAGGGGCGTCTCCGGGCACTGCTGAGCCAACTAAGGATTCGGGCAGAGGTGCAGGAGGTGGTGTGGGGTGAAGGGGCTGTGGCTGGGGAGCCAGAAGAAGAGGAAGGGGACTTTGTGAACAGTGGGCAGGGAGAGGCAGAGGCAGAGGCCCTGGCCAGCAGCGCCAATGCCCTGGTACGTGCCCAGCAGGGGCGAGGCACTGGCGGAGGGCCTGGGGGGCCAGAGGGTAGGGATGGTGAACAGGGGCCCATCACAGCCCTCACCTTCCTGTACCTGCCTCGGCCACCTGCCAATCCTGCCCGCTATCCTCGATACCTGGCACTGCTGGAGACTCTGAGCCGTGATCTGGGCCCCACACTGCTGGTTCACGGTGTCACCCCAGTCACCTGCACTGACCTCTGATGCTGAACTTCCTAGGTTGGGTAGGAAGGGCCCAGGCTCATCTTGACTAACGAACCATTTGCCTGCACTGGCCCTGCCCTCGGGAGCACGGAACCTGGCTGTTTAGGGAGATCCTGGCCTGGCCCATCTCCTTTGGGAGAGGGACCTCATGCACTAATGTGGATGTTTGACCCCACTGTCCAGGACAGGGCATCCACAGCCCTCCCCCTAACAGGCCTCTCCCTTCACTGGTGCCTTGATGGGAGGGGCTGGTCTCCTCTGCAATGCTAGGCTACCTCAGTGTCCCCATCCTGGCCACAGATGCATCGGCCCCCTGGGGTGGTGATATTTTTTTTTTGTTGTTGTTCTGTTTTATTTTTCTAACTGCTGACCGTGAATAAAAGACCAAACACTATGGGCTGGCTGAGCACTGTTGGCACGTAGGTGAGAGGGAGGCGGGTGGGAAGGGAGAGGTCTGCACGGGGGTGGAGATCAGGAGCTTCCAGCTTCCGCAGCCTGGCTGCCACGTGCAGAGCTGGGACGCCTGGCTAGGGGGCGGAGAGGGGGGAAATCTTTGGATTTGGAAGTCGTGGGGCCTGTGCCTCCCGTCCTAACCAGCCCCCCTTTGACTCGGCTCTAGAGGAGATTCCTCCCATCTCGGCAGGAGGGGGCCAGTTCAGGGAGGGACAGCAGATTAGGGCCTAGGGGGCCACGTGACCCTCCCCCAGGAATGCAGTGACGTCACTGGGGGCGTGGCCGTCCCCAAAATTGGGGAGGAAGGGGAAAAAAAGAAGCAGAAAAAGTTTCTTTCCTGGAGTCCCAAACGAAGTGTGGGACAGAACAAGAGGTGGGGATCAAGGCCACAGTCCTAGGGCTTTGTGAAGCTCTGACCGCTGTCTGGAGTACCCCCTGTTCCAGGCCATGTCGGGGCCCACCTGGCTCCCCCCAAAGCAACCAGAGCCCAACAGAGTTCTTCAGGGGAGAGCGCTCCCTCGAGGCCCCACAGGGTCGTCATCAGTCCACGGAGCAGGTAAGGGCCCCCCCAGTGGCTGAGGAACCAGCGGCCACTCTTGCCCACCTCTGCCTTTCAGCTCCTGCTCCGTGGCCCCATCTGCTTCCTGTAGCAGTGGTCAGCTGCCTGTGCCCTGCCTGTCCCCTCCTGAAGCCATCCCTGCCTCTTGCCCCCCTCCCAACCCCCAGGTGCATGGGGAGGAGAGCAGCCCAGAGGGAAGCCTCCATGAGGTGCACCCTTCTCTCCATTCCCACTTTTGGTCTCTGTCCCTTCACTGCAGCACTCCAGTCCCACCCCAGGGTCAATTTTTGCCCCCTCCCATCTGAGCAGTGTTACCAGGCCCCAGGGGGACCAGAGGATCGGGGGCCGACCTGGGTGGGGTCCCATGGAACACCCCAGCGTTTACAGGTGAGAACTGGGGTTGAGGGGTTGTGGGGCAAAGGGACCCCCAGACTCGAGGGTGAGCAAGACCCAGGGCTGGAGAGAAGACATTGTGATCTGTGTTCTCCCTGCTTTGGCTCCAACCCAGGGACTCCCCCCAGACAGGGGGGGCCTGCGCCCAGGAAGTCTGGATGCTGAGATAGATTCACTGACCAGCATGCTGGCTGAGTTAGATGGGGGTCGAGGTCATGTTCCACGACGACCAGACCGGCAGGTGACTCTTCTTGTCCTTTCCCTCCTATCCCCAGCTGGCTCCCTTCTCTGGATTCTCAGTTTCATTCCACGCCACCCCTCCAACCTCCACCTGCCCTCTATGTGACTGATAAACACACCTGCATGGAGGAAACAGAAGCTTCCTAGTTTGTCAGCCACTGGAGGGAGGGACCTTGTCAAAAACCTACATGCTTCCCTTGGGGGGATGCATGTGATGTGGATTTCCACCAACATAGGGCCTGGAATGGGCCTCGCTCACCGCTTCTGCTTTGCACTTTCTTCTCAGGCTTATGAGCCCCCTCCACCTCCTGCCTACCGCCCAGGTTCCCTGAAATCCAATGGAGGGAGTGTTCCACCCCCGCTGCTCCCTGCATCCCCCTATGGGGGCCCCACTCCAGCCTCCTATGCTACCGCCAGCACCCCAGCTGGCCCTGCCTTCCCAGTGCAAGTGAAGGTGGCCCAACCTGTGAGAGGCTGTGGCCCGCCCAGGCGGGGGGCCTCTCAGGCCTCTGGGCCCCTTCCAGGCCCCCACTTTCCTCTCCCAGGCCGAAGTGAAGTCTGGGGGGCTGGCTATAGAAGCCACCGTGAGCCAGGGCCAGGGGGCAAGGAGGAGGTAACTGGAGTCTCTGGCCCTGTAGGAGGAGGAAGAGGAGGCGGGCATGGGCCCCAGGTAAGTCTGTGGCACTGGGATTTGGGGTCATGACAGACAGCTGAAAACTGAACCGAAAGAGTGAGAGCTGGGGGGGGGGGTGTTTAAGGTCCTGCTTTTAGAGCAGAGTCAGAGGTCAAGGGGGTGAGGGTGTCCAAAAGGGAGGGGATAGAGCTGCCCACTGGCTCCCGGGCTGAGATGTGCTTGGGTGAGCTTTCTGGGTAGAACTGTCTGGCTACCCCCAGGGATTATTATAGCATCAGGAACTAGATTCCCAAAGATTCCTTGATTATCACTCCAGGTCCACTTGAGCCAGCCTCCGGAGGAGGAGCTGGAGAGACTGACCAAGAAGTTGGTGCATGACATGAGTCACCCACCCAGCGGGGAGTACTTTGGTGAGCTGACCCAGTGGGTAGGATAGGAAGGAGGAGGGGACAGTGGATCTAGTGTCCTGGGTCTGTGCAAATTGATTTAATTCCTCCCTGTTCCCAGGCCGGTGTGGCGGCTGTGGAGAAGATGTGGTCGGAGATGGGGCTGGGGTTGTGGCCCTAGACCGTGTCTTCCATGTTGGCTGCTTTGTGTGTTCCACGTGCCGGGCCCAGCTCCGGGGCCAGCATTTCTATGCAGTGGAGAGGAGGGCCTATTGTGAGAGCTGCTATGTGGTGAGTGACTAGGCTGGGGGGCCCTGAAGTCATCAACGAGGTACAGGGTTTCTTCCAAGGGGAAACCAGAATTCAAGCCCAAAAGAGCAATGTGGCTTGAAGCTGGGGGACTCGATCTGAAGTACAAGAAGAAGGAAAAAAATAGGCAGCTAAATACTGGCAGCTGGAGGGGGTGAACAACAGTCCCTTACAAGTAGGCATTTTGTTTATTTATTTTTGTTTATTTGGTTTTGGTAGTACTGGGGTTTGAACTCAGGGATCCCTGCTTGCAAAACAGTAGATCTACAGCTTGAGCCTATTTTGCTCTGGTTATTTTAGAGATGGGCATCTCTTGAACTATTTGCCCTGGCTGGCCTTCTGATCTTAGCCTCTCATAGCTAGGATTACAGATGTGAGACACTGGTGCCTGGCTAGTAGGAGGCATTTTAGAGGGGAATATATGACATTTCCATAACACCTCTGTGAGGCATTGATTACTACATTTTAAAGGAAAAGGAAGTTCAGATATGCTCAGATTCAGTGTTCTGGAAGCTACAATGCTGGAATGTGAACTCAGATCTGTTCAGGTCCACTTTCCACTGACTCATACATACACAGATTGGTAGGCTTTCAGAGTGTCTTCCTGGCTACTGTGGTTCCCCTTTCTTACCTTCCCATCCTCTTTCCTTCTAGGCTACCCTGGAGAAATGTTCTACATGCTCCCAACCTATCCTGGACCGTATCCTGCGGGCCATGGGGAAGGCCTACCACCCTGGCTGCTTCACCTGTGTGGTGTGCCACCGTGGCCTTGATGGCATCCCCTTCACAGTGGATGCCACCAGCCAGATCCACTGCATTGAGGACTTCCACAGGTCAGGTCTGGGGCCCTGTCCAGTCTTGGGATGTCTGATCTTTTCTTTTTTTTTTTTTTTTTTGTCACTACTGAGGTTTGAACCCATGGCCTTGTGCTTGCTAGTCAGGTGCTCTACCACTTGAGTCATACTCTCAGTCCTTTTTGCTTCAGTTATCTTTTGGATAGGGTTTTGTGTTTTTGCCTGGAGCTGGCCTTCGAACTTGATCCTCCTAATCTCTGCCTCCAGTAGCTGGGATTACAGGCATAAGCCACTACCACACTGACCTTTCCTGTTTTTCCCATCTCTCCTTCATGTCCCTCTGGCCCCTCCTGTTTCTAACCCCTGGCCCTCTCTCTTCTATTTATTTATTTATTTGATGGTGGGGTGTTTGAACTCAGGGCCTCATGCTTGCTAGGCCAGTGCTGAACCAGTTGAGCCACTCTGCCAGCCCTGTTTTGTGTTGGGTATTTTTTAGATAGGGTCTTGTGAACTATTTGCCTGAGCTGGCTTTGAACTGCAATCCTCCTGATCTCTCCCTCTTGAGTAGTTAGGATTATGGGTGTGAGCCTATTGGTACCTGTCCTCTCTCTTCTCTTTGGTAATACTGTCTTCCCTAAGACCCAAGACCATAGCTCTGGCACCCTCCAATCCCTCCCATCTTCTCTGGGTTTCATTGTGAATTCACTTCCTCCCTGGAGCCTCACGGCCTGCTTGGTTCCCTTTTACTCCAGGAAGTTTGCCCCACGATGTTCAGTGTGTGGTGGGGCCATCATGCCTGAGCCAGGTCAGGAAGAGACAGTGAGAATCGTTGCTCTGGATCGCAGTTTTCACATTGGCTGTTACAAGTGTGAGGTGAGGGGGCTGGGGCAAAGCTGAGAGGTTTGCAGAGTCTGGGGTGCTGGGTTGAACAAGAGGGGGAAGAGACCTGGGAGTGGGGACTGGACTGATAGAAAGTTGTTGCTTCTCCCAACAGGAATGTGGACTGCTGCTGTCCTCTGAGGGTGAGTGTCAGGGCTGTTACCCGCTGGATGGCCACATCTTGTGCAAGGCCTGCAGTGCCTGGCGCATCCAAGAGCTCTCAGCCACTGTCACCACCGACTGCTGAGTCTTCTGAGAAGCACAGGCTGCCATCCTAAGTCCCCATCCATCACCCTCCCTGAAATCTACACTTAGAATTTTTCACCAGATGCTGTCCCTTCTTCCTCCAATCATGAAATAATAATCCTTCAAGAGTTTACAAAACACTGTCAAGTCTGTCGTCTCCAATGAGCTCACAGTAGCCCAATACAAACACAATTGTTGTTACTGTTTGCCTTTTTACACAAGAATGCCAGAGCCAAGAAGTGACATCCCAGATTGTATTTCTCAAATCACTTGGCTCTGTTCCTTTTTTTATTCTTTTGCAACAATACATTTTTTTCCCTTGGTGTTGGACATGAACCTAGGGCCTCATGCATGCTATTTAAGTTCTCCACCACTAAACTACACCCCCAACCCTGTATGAAACTGTTTTTAATGTAGTTTGGTGTAAAGACACCATTTTTTAGTGCTGGGAGCAAGGCTACAACATGCTCAGGAAGCGGGTATTTTTCATTTGTGTGTGTGTGTGTGTGTGTGAGAGAGAGAGAGAGAGAGAGAGAGAGAGAGAGAGAGAGAGAGAGAGAGAGAGAGAGATGGGATTTGAACTGAGGACTTGCTTTCAGCCACACCTCCAGTCCACCATTTCCCATTAGTAACCCTCGCACTTAATTCATTACGAAGGGACTTGGTGTTATCTCCGGAGTGATGGTGCATTTAGTATGGGGGAGCCCAGATCGTGCTTGTTGCTCAGGACTGTATCTCCTACAGCCTGGGTCAAGTATTAGAGTTAATTTGCCCGTTTCGCGTGAAGATGGGCCGCCCTCGTTGGAGAAGAGCAGGTTTTGCAGGTAGTGCATATACTGCGGTGTCAATGAAGCCTGGTTTTCTGGTGCGAGCAGAAAATGGTGGGGAGAGACGCTTTAAAATGGTTGCTTCTATGCACTATTCCCTAAACGCCCCGTCGTTCCAAGGCCATGCTCTGGGCAAGGAGGGGGCGAAACAACTCCGAGGAGGTCGGGAAGCTCCTCGAGCACCGGGTGTGTGGAAGACAATAAGTAGAAGCGACCTGGGTCACATGCGGGAGACGTCTTGGGGAGCGCGACCCTCAACCTTCATCCGAAGAAGCGCTTCCTTCTCTCCAGGAACGCGCTACCGCCCGCCCTAACCCCGGTTTGGTCCAGCCCGGTTCCCGTAGTTCCTTCCACTAGCGTAGTCTGCGTTTCGGAAAGCTCGCGAGACTTCCGAGTCTCCGCCCCTTCCCATCATCCCCTGTTCTCCCCTCCTTTCCCTTTTTGGCATAGTTCGAGTTCGGGCTGCGCGGGGGCTTGTTTGGGATCTGAGGCCGAGTTCCGCGGGTGGCGGCGCAGGCGCGGTGCGTGCGACCGCTCATTCTCGGTTGTCCCACTTTCTGACTGAGAGACCCGTGTACCCATCTCATTCTCTCCGTCCTGGTCGCGCGCTCGGGTCACCCGGAAAACAAACCCGCCCGCTCGCGGTGCCAACGGCTGCGACCGCTCCCAGGTGGGGGAGGGGAGGGAAAGGGACGAGAGGGGTGGGCTGGTGTGGGGACTAGAGAGAGCGAGGACTCTCTGTGGGGGTGATGGGGATGGGCAGGGACCCGGAGGATGAGACAAAGTGTCGGAGCCATCCGCTTGCAGGGGATGGTGGGGGCCGCCGCAGGCTGGTCTGGCCGGGAGGGAGGGAGGGGGGCGTGCTGCTTCCCAAGGACCGCCCTTTCTCTGGTCCTTGATCATCACCTTGCCCACCCCTCCTCGGGCCCCAGGCCCCCTCCAACCGCGCCATGGGTGACAGTGATGACGAGTACGATCGAAGGCGCAGGGACAAGTTCAGAAGAGAGCGCAGCGACTATGACCGTTCCCGAGAAAGAGATGAAAGACGGCGGGGGGACGATTGGAATGACCGGTGAGACACTTCAACGTAATTTTATTCCTCCATATTATTCCGTTCTACTCTACTTGCATTGCGTTTTCCTTTAAAATTGCATTAGGGTGAAACATAAATGCATTCTCTCATTGGGCCGTTTTCGGTGGTTCAACCTCATTGCTGTTGGCCAAATAACTAAATGTGGCTTAAATTTTGGAATGTCTTCAAGATAAAAGCGGTAGAAGAGTTTGAGCACAAAACAGGAATATTACACGAACAGCGAAAGTGTGCATTTTGTTGTTTGTAGATTGTATCTCAAAACGATGGCTCAGAAAGTGATTAATAAAGAATTGACCAGACTGGAATGGTTATCAGAGCAGTTCCCTGGCAAGCTATGATTAAATATCTTGTAATTGTTTTGCTTAAAATATTGGAAAGAATTCTTGGGGCAATGTAGATTGTGTTGATTGGTTGAATTCGAGTCAGCTCCTGTTTTGCTTTCTTGAGAGTTTGCTTATTTTTGTGGCACTGGGGCTTGAACTCAGGGTTTCATGCTTGCTGGGTAGGTGCTCTACCACTTGAGCCACTTCGACAACCCTTTTTTGTATTTAGTGTTTTTTGAGATAGGGTTTTGAGAACTATTTGCCCCAACTGGCTTTGAACTTCGATCCTCCTGATTTCTGCCTCCTGAGTAGCTAGGATTATAGGGGTGAGCCATTGGCTCCCAGTTCCTTGGTCTTTTCTAAGAAAGAAGAAAATCAAAGGTGATCTTGTGATTCTGAAGTTAGTGAGATGTAGTTACTGCCTTTAGGAGCTTATACTGGTGGGGCTTGATGTAGGGGCCAAAATGGCCTTTGGTCTTTGTTGCAAATGTGTATGTGTGAGATCTTTGCAAAGATGGTAAGCATTTGAGGGAACGGATGTTCAAGCCAGGGGAGTGGTGCTGGAGATGGGCGTCACGGAGAACTATAGGAAAGTGACAGTTAGCTGAGTTGGAGAGACAGGGATGCTGTCAGCAGCTTGGGGTCATGGACATGATGTCCACTGATAAGAGCAGCGTGCATTCTAGTTTGGTTAATGTAGTGACTCTCAAAATGTCTACAGATCCTAGGGAGCCTGAGGTTAAAATTATTTTTATGGTAAACTAAGATATTGCTGTTTTTACAGATGGTACTATAACAATGGTGGGTAAAACTGCTGTACTTTACTACAAAATCATGAAAATAATGACACAAGGGTTAACCCTCCAGTTTCACTTAAGTCCTTGATGAAGCATTAAATCACAGGGTTTTTGTTGTCGGTTTTTGCGGTACTGGAGTTTGAACTCAGAGCTTCACAGTTGCTCTGCGGGCGCTCTTATCAGTTGAGCCACTCTACCAGCCTTTCAGTACATGGGGGGAGATGAGAAACACGTATAAAGTATTCTACTGTGTGTAGAGCATAGATTTACAGTGTATATAGTGGTTGTTTCCCCCACATTTTTTTTTATTTTCTCCACATTTCTGTTGGTGCATATTAATTGTACATTGTGGGGGGGGTTCATTGTGGTATTTCCATATCTTGAGCAAAATCAGTTGTGTAATTGAGTTGGGAGCTGAACTGAACTTTTTTCTCATACAGTGCCATTTTTTAGTTGAAATGACTGTCAAACAGTGATGGTTCACACTTGGATATTTGGCAGACATTTTCATGAAAATGAATTAAAAGAACCTGTTATTTTGAGGAAAGCTGTCACTATTTTTTGCCAGTTGACTGGAACTTTCTAGTGAAAACTCAAATTTTTGAAAATTTGTATCTACCAATGTGAGTGTGGCAACTTCTTTTCTGATAAGTAGTATACTAATGAAAATGATATTTTGATATTGTATAATGAGACATGTGAAGAACTGTTCAAAGAGCAAGGTAGAACTGTGTTTTCATGTAGCAGAGTGCAAACTGAACTTTCCAAGTAATCTTTAAGAAAGTACTTCTTGGGCTGGTAGAGGCTCAAGTGGTAGAGTGCCTGCCTAGTATGCATGAGGTCCTGAGTTCAAACCCCAGTACTGGAGGAAAAAAAAAGGCTATTAGTTACCTATATATTGACGTATGTAACTACATCAGTGTGAGGACAGATTTTCATGTTTTTTTTTTTTTCAACCAAACAACATATAACAGTTGTAGAAGCTGTCTTCTATTAAGCCAGACCTTGATTTGTAAAAATTAAAACAGTGCTATTTTAATTTTGAGAGGGAAATAGTTATTTTTATCGAATGTAAGTTTAGACTAATGTATAATTTTAAGATTAGGCATTAAGACTTTTTGTCATAATTTCGAATATAGGAAGTATTGATAGACATAATCCACAGAAGTGTACTCCTATATTGGTGTCTGTAATTTTTTTTTTTTATTTTTGGTGTTGCTTGGGTTTAAATTCAGGGCCTCTATTGGTAGGTAGCACTCTACCACCAGAGCCATTCCTTCAGCCCTTTTTGTCTTAATTATTCTGTGTTTATGTCTGGGCCAGCTTGGGTGGAGATCCTTTTATTTTTCATGTAGCTTGGAATGACAGGCACTACTGTACCCAGCTTTTATTGGTTAAGATGGGGGCTTTGGAACTTTTTGCCTTGGCTGGCCTCTCACCTTGATTCTTCTGATCTCCACCTCCTGAGTAGCTAGGATTACAGGCATGAGCCACCCTGCCTGGCTTCCTTAAATTCTGAGAGTGGGGCTGGGGCTGTACCTTAGTGGTAGAGTGCTTACCTTTGAGGCCTTGAGTTCCACCTAGCTTCAGGGGAAAAAAAAATGTAAAGGGGGATCTCAGTTTTAAAAAAAAAAATCAAAAATCTTTCATTATTAGGGGCTGCTGGTTACTGGTAGAGCGGTTGGAGTGAAAGCCAGGAAAGCCAGAGTTTTGAACAGAGTTGTTTGCTGCTTTTTTTTTTTTGGCGGTACTGGGGCTTGAACTTAGGGCCTTCACCTTGAGCCACTCCACCAGCCCTGTTTTTGAAAAGGGTTTTTCGAGATAGGGTCTCACGAACTGTTTTTTTTTGCCTGGGCTGGCTTTGAACCTTGATTCTCCTGATTTCTGCTTCCTGAGTAGCTAGAATTACAGGCATGGGCCATTGGGGCTCGGCTGTTTGCTGCTTTTTAAGCATTTGGAAGATGACTTTGGCAGAGGAGGAGAGAGCAGAGCTGGTGAACACTAGAGAAATAGCAAGAAGTAAGGGTTGGGATGGAATCTGGAGATGGACAAGTAGAAGAGAACAGCTTTGATAGGCTGTGAGGCAGAGGATTAACAAGA